AAAAAGGAATCAGCCTGTAGATGATAATAAATCCTTGAAAGTATGAAGATAGAGAGCAAAAATAATTCTTTAAACAGTATAGGTAGTGATTAGGTACCCCTTATTGAATACAGGCATCTCTGGATAGAAGAGGAAGAAGACAGTCACGGAGTTGGAAGACCCTGCTTACGTTCTGCAAAGCACTAGCCTAAGGTTATGGGTTCCTACCTACTGTGCATTTGCAAGCATACTTTGCAATTGTCCCCACCCATCTGCAAAGGGTATCACAGAGATCAAATGAGTTAATGTGCGTGAATGTATTTCATGCTCTTCAAGATGCAGTATTAGCATAAATTAGTATTAGAGGCATCAGCCTAAAGAAAGAGTTTCTCCAAAGATCGCACTCTTTTTTAGCAGTTGCACTGCAGTAGAAGTACAAGGGTCATGGTAAACTATGGACATATTTAAAGAAGTTCAAACACGGCGATGTTTCTAAAATGAGAATGAGTGCTGCAGACACTCGGAACAGTAATCTTTGACTACAATGACTAATAACAAGAGTGGCACCAACGCAGGGCTTACCAGTCACTGGGCAGAGTGGGCAGAGGCGCTTTTGGTATGGGGCTGCGGGCCCTCTGTGGAAGTTTGTGCCTCTGGCCCCCTTCTGTGATAGTTACCGCCACATAATCATTGGGAAGTAGCCATTCTTCATAGCCTCCCAGCTTCCTTTATTTTTGGCAAGGTTGACATAAATAGCTCCTTTTTTTTTTTTTTTTTTTTTTTTAGGTTGTGTATTTGATAGAGTCTCACTATGCAGCTCAGACTCATAGTGATCCTCCTGTTTCAGCCTCCCCAGGTGTCACCAAGTCCAGGGCCCACAGGCATGTGGTACTGGGGATGAAATCTGGGTCTTTGTGCTTGCCTAGCCAGGTGCTTAGACCGCCAAGCTATCTCCCCAGCCCAATAGCTCTATTTTGATCCTGATAACTTTCACATTTCTTTTATAGTGCAGAAAAAGTGAAGATCCCATCTGTGGAGCCCCTGTCAAGCATCGAGAACAGCGCCAGGGAGTTTGCCCAAGCACCACATACAGCTGCCTTCTGGGGCAGAACTCTCTCCAAGGGCTGCTACTCACACAACTGCAGCCACAGCTCCCTTCTCGCTGCACCCTTTTTCTTTCTTGGGCCGACTAATCAGGTCCCGGTACCCCTGAGACCCTGAAATGATAGCTACGAGTGCCTAGCCATGAACACTGATGCATTGAGCTTTACCAGAACTAGAAGGTTTCACTTTCCAGCCACCTTGTGGGAGTGATGAGTCGGAACTAGTACTTCTAATCAAGCTGGATATGTTTGCCAAAAAATTCCTGGTGGAAATTTTCTTTTGAAGATATAAAACAATTTCTCATCAGATTGAGGTTCTGTGTACCTTGTAGACCTTTTCAGTGATTCAGTGAAAATTTCTATTTCTAATGCAAAGTTTTCTTGGGTTATAGGGCAAAACCATCTATGAAAGAGGACACTTTGATATGAAAATGCTAGCCTTGCCCTAGATAAACTCAGTGAATGTTATTGAATGAATTAAGTTTAAGCCCTGCACCAGGCAATACCATAAATCTACATTTCTAAAGTTATTGATCTCAATACAGTCAAGGAATTATAGATTATTTCATATACTTTGACTTCTATTCAAGAAATAATTGGACTGACAAAATACATTGTCCTGTATGTATATGTTTAGGGGTGCATCAGAAGCAAATTGCTGTTGTTCTAATGAACATAATTTGGCTAACAAGAATAGCGAAGAGTAAATAGTAAAAGAGAGAAAGGAAACTCCAAGATTTTATTTAGCTTCTGTTTTGGAAAGCAAACCTGCTAGCAGTGCCTACCCTTAACTCTATCCTGACATTTCCATTTAGTCATCTTTGGCTTTTCCGTAGATTATACTTGAAGTATTTGCTGCTAAAAGGAAACACATAGTGCAGGAAATTAAACTTTCATCCCGCTAAATTTGCAGACATTCAGATCAGTTATCATAGAAACACTGTCAGAATATTAGCAATCTATACAATAGATTACAACGTCTATAGATTTTCTTGTGTATTTCTGCAAAACCTCATGGTTTCCCTGGCGGTTGAACTGATGCTATTTCCAGCTGGTAACAACGCTGGTCAAATACTATGTCAGTTACTGATTCGTAGCCCTATTCCTTGACAAGTTTACCCTGCTGCCCTTTGATGTTTCATGCAATGCGGAATTAATGCTGTTCCAGGAGGTAATGGAAATGAACTGAGTCCCACATCAATCGAACAGGCCGGACAGCGGGGCAGCCTCGCACTTTGGTCTTTATGAGCAGTCAGATGCTTCATCTCCACAAATCCTGTCTGTCAAGTTCCTCCAAATAAGCTGGATTTATTAATACAGGTTGCTACTCCTTGTTCCCATAATGAGCTGCCCTCCTGGTGGTTGTGCTCAAAGCATCACTGAAAAGCAGAGCAGCGGACCTGTCAACAGAGAGTGTGCTACATAGGCAGTGGGAGTCGCATATAGCTTTTAACTCCACCCCGTTGATGGTAATTTTTGGTTGCTTGCCTGATTCGCCTGGGGCGACTAAAAACATCACCTGAGTTTCACGCAGGCTAATTGTCAGCCTGTGCAGCGGTCTCAAATTTCAGACATGATTGACAACCAGACACGTACAACCTCCAGCTGTACTGAGCGCGCAGTTACTCAGGCTGGGCTGCCCCAAAGATGCTCATGGAGGACAGAGATCTGCTGAGCCCAAACAGCTCTGGGCAGGAGCCATGGCACCCTAGTGCCCAGGCATTCACAGCTCTGGTTGCCTCTCTGACAGTCCCTGCACAGAGGAAGCTGGAGGGCGTGGGGATTGCTGGGGACCTCAATTCATCCCCATCTGGGTGTGCGGCAGCTCAGGCTGGACACCATCTGTCCTGCTTTGGCCACCGTATCGTAGTGTCACTTTCACTCCAAAGGGATGGAGTTCTTTGAATAACTCAGTGTGTCATGCATTAGCTAAGTAAAAATACATTGTACAATCCCTGGTGTTGCTTTTCATACTTCTCCTTCTGTTAGAAAACTGTAACATTGCCTCTCTGTGACTTGTCTATAATTTTGAGGGCATATGTGACTATAAAACAGGTGATTGTTTCTATGGATTACATACTTTGGCTTTAAAGTCTAGATACAATTCAAAATCTTTTCTTTCTCTATTCTTCTGAAATACATCCTTCACACAAATGTGCCTGTCACTATATATCTACATATTTATTTGGTGCTCCTAGTGCTTTGTTGAGTAATTAAACTTGTATTAAAATCAAAATCCCTATAAACAAGCTGCCAGCTATTACGTCGAGAAACAGGGTTGACATCAGATGTAGCATCTACTGAAGCATCCTATCTTTTTCAGGGAAAGACACTCGAAGTTACATAGTAAATACAACTTTTCCCCCAGGCTGAGAAAAAAAATCCAAGGATTTGAAACTTCCACAGTGTCTCCTGGTGCACACTTCACTCTAACTTTGCTACAGCCTAGGGATCCATCTTGAGAGTGGCTCTCACTCCAGACCTGGGAGGGCCTTCCTGTTCCCTTGAGGGGGACATGTGTTCCCTACAGATAGGGCTGCTGCTGCCGCAGGATGCAGCGGCGTTCCAAGAGCTTTCACTTAAGAGAGGATGTCTCAGGAAAGAGTTCCAGCAGGACAATGCAGCCTTCTTTTGCCCTTCCCAGAATAATTCCTGCTTGGCTTTACCTTTGGTTGCTAAGAGATAGATACCTGCTCCTCTGCAGGGAGACAGAAATGCACGCTTAGGAGTTCCACCTTCTCCACCCTTCTCTGAGGGTCGGGTTTTCCAGATTAGAAGAGTCCAAACCTGTAGTTATAAGCAGCAAGCTACTGGGAATGCTCTGATCTCAGATGCATTCTGTTTGCCCTGAAGAGTGTTTCTAAAAATTAGACATTTCACACCAAACAGCCCCCTTTTTGGCTTTCTTGGAAAACTCAGAAGATGCATCAACCCCAGAAGACTGTTCTAGATAGCAACAAATGTCTGAGCCCAGAGAAAGCTGAGTTTTAGACAGGCTGCGTGATGGGGCTGCTACTCCTTAGGGGTTCATGTTTTTCTCCAGCCTCTTTTATTTATTCCTGGGTTGACTTAAGACAATAGCAAAGAACAAAAACATTCCAGACCAGACACTTCTTTCACAGTGGAAGCCACAGAACTCATTCATATATACAGTAATATTAAGTTCTTTATTCTACTGACTTTTCAAATTCTTTCCTGAAATGGCTGCAGTCAGTTACTGCAATATAAAGACTTCCTGTAGGCTTCTGAGTAGTTACATAAGGTCTGAGGGGAGCAATGAGCAGATGGATGGAGGAGTTGGACCAAACACCTTCTCAGCTCTGTTTTTCAGAAAGGAGGTCGTGGGAGTTCCTTCTTCCAGGAGTGCTCGTGGTTCTCGAGGGATCCGCACCATGTCAGCTCCATGCCTCAAACCCCAATTTTTTGAAAAGTCTTATAATCCACTACTATAACTCTGTAAGAGTTTCCTCTAGAGAATTCTGATTCCTTTTCTCAAGCACTTCTCTAGGTAGTAAATTTTCCTTCTGTGAATATTTATTGTCCATTCCATTTCTGGACTTGCCTTCTATAAAATGGGTGGCCCACAGGATTGTTGAGATAGGATATTTAGTCATTTGTGTCCAGCAAGTTTGTCCTTTCACTAAGCCAAACAGTATTTCATAACTTATCTCTTCATACAAGCTCTTCAAATGTTTAGTGATACCAGTACGTTTCTAAGTCCCATTATATATGGTTTAAATGTCACTGGTTATTTCATGGTTATTTCACTGGTTTCTCCTATGACAGAGTTTCTAGAGTGTTCACCATTTTTATAAACATACACAGTACTTGATATTCCATGCTTAGGGGCAGTTCTTAATTTTGGAGTATCAAATGTCATAGGGATAAGTGCAACAGACTTTTTCTATTTAATTGCAGCAGAGGTCATCGAGGTGGAAGACAAAACATGTGCTAGTAGGGTTTCTGAATCCAAGATTGTAAGGAAAGCCACTCATATGAGTCATGGGCCAAGTGAAGAGTGCACCCTGGGGTATGCCTATGGGGCACAGCCTGTGAGAGCCTACCTAAAGCTCCTGGCACAGCCTGGAGAGAAGGGTGGGATGCAGGTGCAAGCCGTGCATTAGTCCATCTCCTGTTGTCAGTGAGTGGGGAGCAGCTAAGGAGCCTGTCACTAGGAGCAAGAAGCTACTGGTGGAGATTTCACTGGAGAAGGCAATCTATGTGTCACTTCTCCTTGTTGCCACACACATCTGCCATGTATGTGAGGGGAATATTTCCCCCTCACCTTCAACGCAGCCCTTGCCTATGAATTTGGAGACCACAGTGACTGGTGTGTGCGTTGAGATATAACTGTCACATTTGCACGGTGATAACAGTTGATCCAGGAGGGCCATGTACATCTTGGAGTTCAAGCCGGTATTACATGGGTGCTTTTCTGTTGCCATGTCACAGAATCATTTTATACTGGGTTTCTAAGCAACTAAAACATCTAGGTCTTTCTCAAATGAGTTGAAATTTGGACAGACGTCTTAGTATTTTATATGGGAATGTGTGATTTTTGGATGCTAATGTAAAAGCCACAACAGAGTTAGAGTCCCTTGGTTGGTGTCCCAGCTTGTCCACTGACTTGGTTGACCATTAATTTCTCTGTGCCTAATTTTTCTTATCTGTGTCATGAGGATAATAATGCTTCCCGCGGGAACCAAGAATTAAATTAAGTAATGTGTGGGGTAGATAAACACTGCTTCCCTTCAGCCTTCTTGGAGGACATTCACAATCCAGGACTTGCTCCTTGCTCAACCCCAACTGCCCTGCAGGGGACAGTGTGACACAGAGGCTGACAGCCATGGCTAAGGAGCTAAGAAGGTGTTGCCACTTACAGGTGTGTGACTTCAGGAAAATTACTTTAATTCCCTGCTTCTCTGAACCTTTTCCTGTAAAAAGCTGGAAATAATAGTATTTGAGTATACGATAAGACATGACATTTAGAGCAGTTGGCACACAGCCTGGCACACAGCATGCATTCAGCAATTTTTTTAATTGTCATTACTACTGTTCCAGGCATGGCAACTAGCGGAGAGTTTATTGGCTTCGAGGACAAGGCCTACAGCTGTCCTTCACGAACCTGGACACACCGTCTTTTTGAAACACACTTAACCTTGTTCTTGCTCTGGTGATCGCTGGAGAGCCTTGAGTTCATTCCACAAGCACGTAGTGTGTTTCTCGAAGGAGGAGGGAAAGGGAGGGGAGGAAGAGCGTATGCCACGGTAGTGAACAGTTTAATTCTCTTCAATGTGAATTCTTCACAGGGCCTTGCCAATTCTTCTGGGAACGTCCTCTTCCAAATTCTAGGTGTCTTATCTGTGTCCTTCTGAATCATGAGGTTACTCTGATCCTGTCACTCCACTTCATCTTTTAGCCAGTGGACTCTAGAGGAGGAGGAGGAGGAGGAGGAGGAGGAGGAGGAGGAGGAGGAGGAGGAGGAGAAGGAGGGGGGAGGGGGGAGGGTGAGGGGGAGGGGGAGGGGAAGAATGAGTCTCTGAATTCGCTCCTGTGTGGTCTCTGCTCGCTGGCCTTTGCCATCATCCTCCCTCCAGCACCATCTTCATTTTCTCCCTGCTTTACTCAGGACTCGGGATACACTGAGTTATCAGGAAAAGGAGAACCACAGCATTAGCTTTGTTGTGGCCACAACTTGAGAGTTGGGACTTGCATAATACATTTTTAAAATGATCATGAACATGATGAAAAGCTTGTACTTTATTTTAAAATACTAACAAGTAATGTTTTCCTGTGAGCAAGCTACAATGAGATGACCCATTGTTAGAGAAAAAGAAGAAAGCTTATTTTTATTGAGCTTTAGTTGTCCTGCTCTCTCAATGTATTACTTTTGTCTAGATTCATAGAAATGCTAAGAATTGATTGAAAGCCCTTATTATTGCCTTAACAAGCCTTAGGGAATTGGCAACCTCAGACTGGGCTTTGCTGGGTGTCGCTTTAGCCAGAACCATTAAAACCAAATCTGCTAATGAGACACCCCATGTGGAAGAACGTAATGATTTAAATTTGCAATGGCTTATTTCATTTTTATTTGTTTCTTTAATGTGAAGACTATTGTTTTGATTACTAATATATCCTAGATATTCTCACTCACTTAATGGAAAATTCGCTCCTTTCTTTTCGGGGAGGAGAGGTGTGGGAGGAAAAAGCAAATACTTTGAACCAGAAATCCGTTTCTTCCACCTACACGATGATCGCCCCTCACTAATCCAGTAGACCCATTTGAGTGTGGGTTTCAGCAATACACAAGGATCTTAGTACCTTCCTCTAAGGCTCATGGGAGAATCACAGACACTCGATATAGATAATGACTAGAGCAATATGGGCGTATAATACGGGCAGCTAATGGGAAAGTTAACTTCTATTATTGTACTGTGTGGTAAGACTTCCTCCTTCTCTGATGAGAGAACAGAGGGTTGGAGAGCGTAAGTAGCTTTACTGAAGTCAGGAGCACAGCTGTGTTCATCACCACAGATCAGTTTTGCTGTGTTAGCATCAGTCCCCAAATCTCAGTGGCCTTCACCACCAGAGCTTGCTCCCATCCACAGTGACGCTTGTCCGCTGTGGGTTTGGTGGGGCAGAGAGCTCTGCTCCGTGTTGAGCTTGCATAGGAGGTGAGCTGGGGAGACACTGGATCTGGAATGGTGAGCTGCTGCTCATGGGAAAGAAAGCTGAAGAAGCCTGCAGGACCTCATAAACTATTTTTCCCAGAAGTGTCACACACATGTTCCTTCATATTTCACTGACTATAACATACCACATGGCGATGCCTAACTCGCATCAAGAAAGGAAATGTGTATATAGTTAGTCAGGGTGAGAATCTTTCCAATTAACTCCTAGATTAAAGAATCTTCTGAATATTCTCTGGATCATTGCCTTGCTCATCTTTTACATATAACTGCATGGCTTAACATTGTCATGTTTCCTAGCTCATCACAATTCCCTCTCTTGATTAGTTAGTCCTTGAGATCCTGCTTTCCCTTTCCTTGTATTATGTCTTTCTATTTGTTTTTCTTCTTTGGAGTTCTTATACTAGGGAGACTATACGATATTTACACGTGTGTGTCTGGTTTATTTCACTTATGAGTATATGTAAGCTACAACTCTTGTTGCACAGGTCCTGCTTTACCTTGGTCTTAACCATCCAGTAGAAAAGTATGAAGACGAAATATAGGAAATAAAGCCATGCTGTTAAGTTGAGCTGTGGGGGACTCAGGTCAATAATTTCTGACATTGCCAGTTAAACAGAAGACCCAATGCTATTATGGGCTACTGGACTCTTTTAGAACATTTTGCTGAGTTTACACACCTATAATATTCAATAACGGAACTTAGAAAAATGGGGTATGCCTATGAATGTCCATTTTGTATCTGTGTATTCAAAGTGGTTGGGATAGATATATAGTTGCATTCTCTTAATGAATAGAATGATTTGTTCTAATGGTGTTTGTAAATAGGATCACAAGTCCGCATCTTGTACAGCAATTAACCACTAAGAAGAATATATGCAGTGTATTATTTGTTGAAACTGTACTTCCAATTTGATTTGAAACTGTCTCATTGCTATCTGTTTATCAATAAAACTTTGAAAAAAAATAAAACAACAAAGCCTTAAAAAAAAAAAGAAAGGAAATGTGTGCAAGACTCTTCCACGACCCAAAGTGGCTCCATCCTCATGGGGACAAAACTCAACTCAAACTCAGGCCTCTGCTTTGACAGTGGACAAATAGGGGACCCATAGCATCTCACCTCTTCTGAAATCAATTCTTTACAACATGGAATGTTAGAATTATAATATCATTTGCATATCAAGTCTTAGGTGTGGAGAAGCGATGCCAAGCAGAATGAAGGCATATATGGGGCTTTTCTTTTTGTGATTGTGGATAATTAAAAATATGCACTTTGAGAGACTTGGCCTCTTTGTTATTTACTTTCCTTTTAAATAATGAAATTGTGCATTTGCCTCTGTATTCCCTTTTCTGCTTATTAAATATTTTTCCAGTCCATAGCACACTCCAGTGATAACTACTTTGCTTTTTTCCCCTTTGGCTTAGAGGTCAGGAAATAGTATCAGTCTATGCATTGACCACAGGACACATCAAAGAAAGGATTTGCGGGACACGCTGAGCTTCTGTTTCCCATGTGGTGGCACCTGGACTCCTGAGGATTTCTCCCACATCCTTGTCTCACGGACCATGTGCCGAGGGGGAAAAGTTCTCTGATGGTGTTAGCCTCATGCAGGTGCAGAAAACAAATGCTGTAATCCTGATTCTTCTTCCTTAATAAGAATGTGGAATCCATTATGGGCTTTATTAAGATAAAAATCACTAGGGCTAGGGAGATAGCTCAGTGGACTAAGCTCCTGCCTAGGCAAGAGCAGGGGCCCCAGCTCCACATGCCACACTGGCCCTGCCCCTGGGTGCACTGAGCCGGCCACCGAGACCAGGAGTGGTGGTGCACGCCTGCAATTCCAGTATCCCAATCCTGGGGAGGCTGAAACAGGAGGATCACTATGAGTCTGACCTGTGTAGTGAGACCCTGTACCAAATACATTTTTTAAAAAAGTGAAAAAACAGTATAAGAAGAAACTTAGAGGGGGAGAGATACCTTACATTATTATTTTTCTGTGGTGAGTCTAGAACCCAGATTTTCCTTCTAGGTGAGCTCTCTGCCACAGAGCCACATCCCCGGCCTTGGACTCTCACAATTCTTATGTTGGATATGCTATAGAAGTTGTATTACAAAACTGTCCATATCTCAAGGAATCCTCTGATTTTTGTTTCTAAGCAAATTCCAAAAGATCTGGGACTGCAGCCTTGTTGCTGTACTCCGCCTGTCCAGGGACAGATGTGACTGTGTTGGGCTTTCCCACAGTTGACTAGTGGGTCATCTTTGCTCTAGTTTGGTTCTGGAATGGTCCAGATTTGCTTCCCAGCTCAGTTGTTTTCAGAGGTGAGGGAACTATAAGAGGTTGGGCCTAGTTAGAAGTCTTTAAGTCATTGGGAAAAGCCCCAGAAGGGCCTAGGCAACCCTCACCCCTTCTTCATTTCTTACACCTCCAGCCATGAGATGAGTCCTTTTTCTCTACCTGCAGACCACCATGGTGTGCTGCCTTATCAGGCCTAAAAACGATGGGACCTACCGACCACAGATTTTCTAAATTGTGACTTTAAATAAACCTTTCTCTTTGTAATTTGATTACCTCGGGTATTCATTGTATTGACACAAGACTAGTTAACACCACCTCCTTAACTCCAGCTCAACAGGTCTATCTTCTTTTTTGTATTATCTTTGATGTCTATTCTGCAACAACTATTGGATTCGCATCTTGTATTATAAAAGGAAAATCTCATAATTCAAACTTTGTAATCACTTCAGTAGGAGCAACAGTTGTCTTTTAACCTTTTGTGCCATTAGGAAAAGAAAATATTGGCTGAACCAGAGAAAACATACTTGTTGGCAGCACATTCAAGGCCGATGAAAAGACGATAAACTCCATTGGAGGTGCTTATTTACATAAAACTATGATTCTGACTTCCAAAAGTGTATTTCTATTTAAGCAGTATTTCTCAAAGTTCCTAGAAGGTAGCATTTCCTTAAGCTACCATGTGCATTACACTATGAATGGGGAAGTAATAAAGCTGTTTTAGTTGTTTCAATATTATAGTCCAGAGAGTCTTTCACAACCTTGAGGATCATCTGCCTCAGATGAAAAATCCCAGTCTGTCTTCTCCAGGCTGGGAATCTTCTAATCTGAGTTTAAAAAATGCAAATGATCTTCTCTCTACCAGGTAGTTCTTGGGCTCTCAGCTTCTCCTTGCCTTCCAGCTGAACAAGGTAATTCAGCCTGGAGTTTATGATACCATGACACCAGAACACCATCAGTGTTTTGGCTTCAATCGAGAGGCACATTCCATATTGCTTAAACCAAACGAGGTTATTGAAAAATAAAGGTGGCTGCTCTAGCAGGGAGAGAGTGTGTGTGTGATATTCTGTTTCCCCTGTAAGAAAACAGGTAATTTTTTTTAAATAGGAGGAAATTCCTGTCCTTCATTGTCCTTTCACTATCCACACATTTGAGCATCTCTGGGTGCAGAAACTCAGGAGATCTGTGACGACAGCTGAGAATATATATGTATATATATATAAAAATATATATAATATATAAATTATATAATATAGTAACTAAATATATAATATATATTAATAAAAATATATAATATTATATATATATTTGTATTTTAGGGAAAGGTTTATGGGGTGTTCAGGGTCTCACTTCTAGATCGGACTCGTAGTGATCCACCTGTTCACAGCCTCCCAAGAGCTGGGATTATAGGCACACACAACCATGCCCAGTCTCAATTGTCCTCTCAGTGTGCCCTGGGGACAGGGTGGCACGGCAGGCTCAGGGATCGAACTCAGGGTTATATGTGAGGGACTGTCCTGGCCACCTAACTTTTTTTCTTTCACAAGGAAGATATACACATTTCTCCAATCTACTCATTCCTTCCTTCATCTGCTCATCCAGGATACAAGGGTGAAGACTGGGGTACCTGGTCTTTAAGCCCCTGAGGATAAATGACTTCCCTGATTCTGGAGATGGTATAAGCTGAAAGTCTGCAAATGTTTTCTGCAAAGGGACAGATAATAAATATTTTAGGTTTGGGGGGTCATACAATCACTGTTGCAGCTACTCAGCTTCACTGTATCCAAGAGCAGAGTGAATCACTGCTACACAGATTGGTGGTCGCACACGGGGGATTGTGGTCTCATCCAGTAAACCTTTATTTCTGGACATTGAAGTGTGAGTTTTCATATGTTTTATGTTACCGGTCTTCTTCTGATTATTCTTCCAAAGCATTTGCGAATGGGGCCTCAGTTTCTGCTTGCAGGCTGTAAGGGTTTCAGCAGTGGGCTGCGCGGACTGAGAGCTGCTGGGTACCCACCCAGCCCTAAGACATAATTACTGATAGTGCAGATCTGAGTTCCCTGGGGCAGCTCCTGCTCACCTCCAGGAAGAGCCAACTGCCAGGTTAGCTGTGATCCTGCCTTTCCATCTTCTGACCCTGACTCCCCCTGAAAGGTCTGTCAACAAAACAGAAACCGTCTTACGAATTTGTGATACTGCTACAGACATCTGGGTGCTTAGTTTCCTGAGAGAAAATGCAAATGACTCTAGTGACTATTTGGTCTTGAAATAGTTTAATTTAGTTTATTTTTTTTTCCTTTTTCTTTATTCCCTTTTCCTTTCTCCATACTAGAAATTAACATAAAAATTCCTTCTGGCTAAATTCCCAATGCATTTTCACAGTGAGCATTTTCAGAAGTGAAAATTAGTAGCTTCCTTGCAGTTTTCATCAGGGATGGGAAATTGTACAGCTCACAGGGGTGGAGAACTCAAACCCCATTTATGAATTAATACATGCTGCTGAGGGTACCTCACAGTCTGCAGAGTGCCAGGGAATCATTTCTACAGAATCCTAAGTATCTAAAATAATGTATATGAATTTGCATTCTCATTCTACCAGTGAGAGAATACCATTTCTTATTTGAAAAAATAAATTAATATGGAATGAATAATACTTCTATATGATTACAACATTTACATCATCCTGAGGGATTGACAGCACCTGGGTAAATTATGTCTCTTTCTCATCCTTCGCTCCACCCTCCAATTTTCAGCCAGGTGAAATCTAGTTATCACAAGCATTAAGAGAAACCTCAAGTGGGACCTACAGTCTGGTGTTGGAAAGCAAAGCTACAGGGAAAACAATGACTTCTGGGTCTCTAGCTCCGGCCATCTGGTTCCCACCAACTTCTGGGTCTCTAGCTCCCGCCCTCTGGCTCCCCCAACAGCTTTGAAACCTTTAGCCTCAAAAGCAGAGATACGGAGCTGGCATCTTACTTACTTTTTCCCATTCCCTTCCACCTCCTCGTTTGCTACATGATATAAAAAATTTGACTTCTGCATCAACTTACAGGACTGTTGGGGGGAAAGAAATCTTATTACAATCTTTAAAATTGTTACAGTTTTTGGACCCAGACAGATCTGAGTTTGAATCCTAAGTTTTCCACTTATAGACTTCAGGCAAAATAATTAACTTTTCTGTGTCTCCGTTGGGGTAGCTATGAGTTGGAGGAGAAATCCTATTTCTGTGAGTAGAGATGAAGATTAAATGGGATAACAGACAGTGAGAAAGTGCTCCACAGAAGGCTGCTAGGAGCGTTTACTAAGTACCCAACAAAATCCTGCCACTTAGAAGACATTTCTTTTCCTTCATGTTTTGCTCCAAACATTTGTTGAATTGCTCCTTGCCTCTAAAAACACAAAAAACCACAATCAATGTACAAAATAGAGGGGCTCACATGTGAGTGGGTAAAGGCAGCTCCTTATTCAGGCAAGTGCAATACAGATGGGTGACAGTAAGATAGATGTTTGTTCAAGCGGGTGAGGGCACAAGCCAGAGCTGTCCAGGCAGGATCTCAAGCCATCTGGGATATATCAAAGCAGGCAGGGTCCAAGTTGAGTGGTGAAGACAAATAGGCATTTTCCAAACATATATTATATTGGGATTATATTCCCAGCAGAGGGAGAGTGCTAGAGCCTAATTTTGCTTGACTGTGTTTCGGTTACTTTTCTCTTTGCTGGGGCAAAATACCTGACACCCAAAATGATGGAAGGAAGGGTTTATTTAGCTCACAGTCTGTGAAGATTTCAGTCCATACATGGATGGCTCCAATGTAGAGTGGCACATGGCAGGGGGCAGCAGTTCATGGCAGTGGAAAATGGGGAAGCGGCAAGAGCAAGAAGGGAGCAACAGCGGCCAAGAGCACACCTCTCTCCCTTCCTAATACTGCATTCAGGTTACCTGCCATAAGGCAGGTGCAGCACTCACACCCATAACCCCAGTATTGGATCATGACTTAATGGCAAACTCTAGAAGCCTTGGCTTTGGGTGGACAACTAGACACACACCCTACCAGTAAGGTAATAGAGGGGAGGCGGGGGTGCAGATGACCTCTGATGAAGGCTTCTAGAGGGAAACGATGAGGTGCCTTGCTTGGTATGCTGAGGAAATGGCACATGCCCTGCCCAGGGCGCAGAAGAGCAGAACACCATTACAAAGGTGGTGTGAGTAGGTGTGCGTGAAGGTGTGTGAAGGAGACGGAGACCCACAGAAGGTGCAGTCATCCCCAGAAGGCCAGCCCTATCTGCGAAACAAGGGTTCCAGCCACCCAGCAGAAGGCCTGCAACACAGGAGCGGCTCCTCTGGACCTGGCATTGATGCCTGCCTGGCCCACCCAAGCCTTCTCCCTTTCTCTGAGCCCCTACTACGTTCTTGGCTCCAGTTTACGCGCTGTCCAGTCTCCTCACTGCAAATCTGCCTTCTCTGCAGGAGAGCAAAGGAGCTGCAGGGAGGAAGCCTCGCTCAGGAGCAGGGTGGGGCGTTTCCAAGCAGGAAGGGACTCTGGCCAGGCCTTCAGGTGCAGAAAGAAACTCAAAGCCATGAGAAAGGAGCCCTCTTTCTCTGGAACTTGCTCCTGGCCTCTGGGTTAGGACTTGTATCCTTGACATTTAAAGGTAGCCGTCCCTGCAGCCGCCATGAGGCCTTCCTTCCCTCCCTAGGGCCCTGCAGGCAGCTGTGTGTGTGTGTGTGTGTGTGTGTGTGTGTGTGTGTGTGTGTGTGTTTGTGTTTGCTGATCACTGGTGCCTGGGGAACCCTCGCCCCAGAACAACAGAGGGGGCCCGTCTGGGTCTCCTCCCACATTGCGGCCCAGAGCCACTGGTGCAAGTTGGCTCCGCTTTGCGACTTCCCAGGCTGGGCTCCAGGGGCGCCTGGGCGCCCGCATCTCCTCTCTTAGCAACCGGCGGCGGCGGAGACGCCAGGGCCGGCTGTGCAGGGCAACCGCAGTAAGGGCACCGCCAGCGCCCCGGCCGCCGCACCTGCCGCCGCTCCAGCGCATCCGGCAGAGATGAGCCTTCCGCACCCCGCTGGGTAAGTGACGACCGCCCCTCCTCCACCCTCTTGCTGCGGAGGGCGAGGGGGAGGGGAGAGCTGGGGATAGGGGAGAGCTGAGGAAGGAAGCGAGCGAGGAAGGAAGGAAGGAAAGAAGGAAGGAAAGAAAGAAGGAAGGAAGGAAGATGGAAGATCCTGGGTTGCTGCAAGGATGGCAGACATCCCAGGCATCCTGCCTCCTCCCCCTCATCCTTAACTTCTTCCACTGTCGTTCTCCCCTTTTGAAATTGTCAGCCTGGAAAGATTTTGTTTTAAAGGATGTGAAAAATTCATACATTGTAGCAGAGACGTTAGCTGGAATGAAGAAGCTTCTGTGGTGGGGAACATATATGTCTCAAGGTAGAACTAGAGGTTCCCCGCATGTGCAGGCCTTGGCAAGGCGAACCGCTGAAGCCCAGGGTACTGCTCCTGCACGGGACTGGAGGAGGGGGAAGGATCCAGGAGGACCGAGGCCTGGGGGCGGGCCGGGAAGCCCCTATGCCAGAATTTTTATCATCTCCGCATCAAAAGGCTCACAGAGGCCTTTTATAAGGATTTTAAGTAAAGTCATATGACATAGAAGGGAAAGGAGGTGGCCAGAGGTGACTGCCTACGTGTTTACCTGTGATCCTACCTACGATCTCTCCTGGGAAGCAGGGTCCTCGAGGACCTATTTTGGCAATGTTTTATATACTCTACAACGCTAACACAGTCGTTATTGGCTATTGCTCCCTCCCAATTGAGTAAAAACGCTCTTCGTTCTCTTATTGGAAGGGAGAATATCCAGTTTCCTTCTGCATTAAGCAATGCAATGCATATGAGATGGGTTTTCATCAGGATATATTGCGTAAACAGATAAATATCCTAGTTCATCTTACAACTCATTTGAAAATGCTTTCCTTTTTAATAGCATTTACTGCACATTTTCGAAAGCAGCAAATTAGCAGAGGGGACTACGTATTTAAGACCATTTGGAGCTTGTGATGTCGGAATTACATTAGCTGTTCTGAAGATCCATAGTCAAACGCGAAGATTTTACTTTCTTACGAGTTCTCCCAAGGAGAGGACACAAAGGAACATGTTTGCAAAAGAGAAGGCCCTGTCAAGGGCCATGTTGGAAATCAGTTTCAGAACTTTCTGGAAAATGATGAAGCGATGGCTAAGTGAGCTTCATATTTTATTTCAAATTGAATTTAGGTTAGGCACGTTTAAGTGTTTCAAAGCTGAATTTGTGTGCAATTTGGTTGTCCGTGGGTCAGACAGGATGTAAATAGAACTATTTTTCTGCAGCTGCTGTTCACAGTGTATCTCCATTTGGGAAGATGAACGTGTCAGTCATGGTTGTCTTCCTGTTTTTCAAGTTTTTGGCCAAGTTAGAATCTGATTAGACCATTTAATCGTGCATTTTAAAATGTGGAAAACCTGAAGCTGCTTATTAAATTGTGCATGATTAAGATTTCAGATACCGAAGTCAAATTTTTCTGAAGTTCTATTAGTTCCAAGCACATGGGGAAAAGGAAAAATTTGTGATTTAATGAAAATGTATGCTTTGAGATACTCTTCAAGTAAGATATGAAGAGGGGAACAAATCTCTTGCACTAAAACACTGAATTCCTATAGAGCAGGCACTGAGTCTTGTTAGTCTTGGTTTCCTTTAGACCCGGACAATGTGCAGAGTGGGATAAAACCCAATCATGGTTGAATGAATGATACCATGGAGTGTGTCTCCAGTTTCATTCACATTTGAAAAGCATGGTCTTGTGTAGCACTTACTTACTAGTGCTCACTGGGTACCGGGGCTGTGCTCCTGTTTTACATGAAATATTTCATCGGCTCTTCCCTCCGGCTGCCTGAGACAGGTTGTAGTCACCCTCATTTTCACAGATGAGGAAGCTGAGTTCTTGAGGTTTTGAAATGAGGCCCAGCTAGGAAAAGGCAGGGCTGGGATCCAGAGGCAGGCCATGGAGCTTGAGGCCCTGGGGTCATCGCCACCAGGCTCCATCGTCTGTAGCTGTGGATACATGTGCGGGATCCCAAGTACGTGCATGTTCTTATCTAGATCCGACCAAGATGTGGCAGTGCATCGATGTCCGTAACCACCTACCACATAAACATAGAATCGTAGAGCAATCTTGTAATCCCTGCTTTTTGCTCAGTTGATCAAAACTAAATGAAAATAATAAGCATAAATGTAACATAGCTCAGTGCCTTCAAATTCACCCCAAACAAAATCATTCAAATTGCTGAAGTTTTCTCTCCAGTAAAAGTAGTGATTATTTTTCTTGCCTGTGTTACCATTTGGAAATAATAAAAGTTTCAGCAGCCAATAAAAGGTTTCATTAAAGCTGAGAAGGCTTTTCCATCATTACTGAAACTGTTTGTACTTATTACATTTTAAGGATAGAGTGGTAATAAAATGCGGTTGTACAATAAAACAAATTTTACATCCCTGAAATTCTACCAATCAATAACTGATGTCCTGATGCTTCCTCTCAGTGTTTCCTCTGAGTTTCTTTGCTTACTTAATTACAGCATTAAGCACTGGATATGACCAGTGCTAACTTCACTCAGAGTTCAGAGTAAATAAAAATGGCCTTAAAAACTTCTGCCAAAGATAATAGAGACTTCGAATCTGAGCTGCATCATAATTTGATGAAAGTCAACTATAAAATACCATTTCCAGCACTGCCATCTCTAATGAAATTGTTTTAGAGTGGAAAATTTCAATTGCTGGTCCCTCTAGCTTGCTGAATCTCACCCATGTTGCTGTGCGTGTGTGCTGTGGGTTGTGCCCTAGTCTTAGAGGCAGAATGGGGGTTTTACAGCCCCGAGTCATGCATGTGGATAAGATGACACGGCTCTCTGGGCTTCTTCCAAGGAGCATCAGTGAATCCATGTGAAGCTGGCTGCCTCTGTGAAAGAAGCACGGAGCTCTAAGGAGAGAGAGTCACCCTCAACTGTGAATTTCCTGTGAGGAAAGAAGAATGAGAGCATTTTCTTTTGGGACAAGGAAACAAATGCCTGAGTGTGTGTTCTGAAGGGTGGTTCAAAAGTCTAGAAACCATCTTGTTTAGATGTATTAGTTTACTTTTTTTTTTTTTTTTTCTTTTTTTTAATGTAATGAAGGTTGCTTTCCTGCCAGAATGAACTGGAATGCAGTAAAGGAAGAATTAGGTCACCCTGGTCCTTCCTCTAACTTAGTTCTTATGCATCAGAACAAAAATACTGTCAGTAATCTTGTAGGTTTTTAGGCTGCTTACCCCAAACTGACTATTGTGCCCCAGCACCATAGCTGTCTCTTTATGAAGAATTTCAGACTTGAAAAATGTTAAAGATTTGAGTTCAAGTTGGGTGCTTTCTCTGCATTCCCCTGTTTAACATTAGCCAATTAATAATAAAGGTAAAAATCATTCCCCTTAAATGGCGAGTATTCAATACTTCACTTGGTGTGACTTTTTCTCTGATTAGTTTATGTTACAGATTATGCCTTTTGAGAAGATAGACGCCATGTCTGTCTTTTACTTAACAAACTTATTCCTGTAAGTGCATGGGAATGGTGGGGTTTTGTCAGCACTGTCGCTTAATTTTCTATACTCCTTCAGAGATACATATTCAAGCAATCACATAGTGACTTATCTCCAAAGAGTTTTCAATAACCTTTTGATAATTTAGTTAGCTCTTCCCACAGTAATGTTCAAGGGAAAGGGCTGGGGATGGTCTGACTTGCACCCTGATTCTTTGGCAGGTCGCTGAAGCCACTTAGGGCATCAATAAGACAATACCTCCAACTGACCTCGGGCTTCTCCGATGTTCTTCCAAGTTCAGTGATCCCTAATAACATACCAGATGCTAACAGCATGCCTTTGCTCTGCAAAACAGAAAGAATATTATAAAGTGGTTGGGGGAAGCTTGCCATGAAGGCACAAGCCTGTGGCCCCAGAGCCATGTGATGTCTGTGACCCCAGAACTCTTCAATGCTGAGGCACAGGGACAGAACCTTGCTTATACAATTCAGTGACTTAGCAAGCTCTGATCTTGAAGCAAAACCCAAAAAACTCAATGCAAAAGCTTTGCGTTCAGTCTCAAGTACTGCGGGAGAGAAGAGAGTGAGATTAAAAAGAGTGAAGTGTCTCCCCTGCTATACACTATACCCTAGTGCAGGCATGTAGCTCAGTGCCGAGTCTCTGGGTTTCAGCTCTGTACTGGAAGAAGCAAATTGTAGAGGGGAAGTAGATTGCATGAGGAGGTAAAAGTCAGCATGGCCAGAAGTGTATTTGCAGAAAGATCCATTTTGAAACAATACAGAGAAAACCTGAACAGAATTAATTCTCTTAAAATTATCCTTTCCTGAGTTTCCGTAGGAAGGTTTTCAGGTATCCCCAGGAGTGTGCAGCTCCTGGTGGGCAGGCTCCCAGTTTGGAGAACAGGGAGGTATGAGATGAAGTCTTCTGCAGTGTTATACTTCCTTTCTGTTATTCATTATTGAGGAAAGACATCTTCAACTGGGAGGAGTAATGGAGATGTCTCAACTTGCTTGGGTTATTAATAACTATACTACAGTTGTTCAGGGATATGGGAAAATACAATGCCTCTGATTCAGTTCTAAAGTCATATCCAAATATTCTGAAACTGTGGTAAAGGCTGGGAAATTCTGAGACGGTGCATTTCTGGAAATATCATTTTTAATGAGTACTTCATATAAAACAGGAGAGGTTTTTTCTGGTTCAGTTTCAGGTGCTTGCTGGCTTCAATGTAGAAAGGGCATGTGGATGGCCATGACATAGAAAAGTGCTCATATCATGCAGGCAGGAAGAAGAAAGAGGGGAAGAGCCAGGGACAAAGAATGCCCTTTCTAGCCACGCCCACATCCTTCTAGGCCACGCCCACCTCTGGGGCACACCCCCCAAGGTCCTGCCTGTGCCAACCAGGCCGCACTTCTGGACCCACGATTAGATTTCTGTTTTCCATAGCTATGGCAACATGCATTCTGTTGTATAAGC